ACTTTGGGTCCCGACCCCAACTTTGGGAACCACTGATCTAAAGGCCAAGAGTAGCTGACTGGTGACTCAAAAAAAAAAAAAAAAAAAGGCTGAACTACTTAAAGCCATAATAAAAAATCTAGCTAAAAGCTGAAAGTCACCATTTGGTAGTTCAAAGTAGCAAAAGAATAGCTAAAATATAAAAGTAGCAAATGAGTAGCTAAAAGCTCAAATTATCAAAAGGTTTGCTAAAAGTAGAAGAATTGTGTCTAAACGTAGCATAACGGTACAAGTTAAAAGTAGCAAAAGACTAGCTAAAAGTAAGGAAAGCAAAATGCCAGCTGAAGCCCAAAAGTAGCTACTGTATTAACTAAAAGCTGCAAAAAGCTAACAAGTAGCTGAAAATATCTAAAGGCTAAAGGTCAAGAGCAGCTGACTGGTGACCCTAAATAAAAAAAACAGAACTGTTTGAAGCCATAAGTAATAAACAGTTTGAGATTTTAGTTAGCCTTTTTCTATTCTCCGCTTACAATCTTTTATTTGGTCCTTTTAGCTTGCAGCTTGCCTTCTGCTGCTTTTAGCTACATTCAGTTTGAGCTAATATTTTTGTTTTAGCTTCTTGCTACCATTTTGCTACTTCAACATTTTAGCTAATGCTTTTATTGTTATAGCTAATCKTTTGCCACATTTCTAGCTACCACTTTGATACTTGTAGCTAATTTGCTACATTTAGCTTTTATCTGCCATTTTATACGTTCAGTTCWGTTCTTTTCAGGCAGCATTTTTTCTACTTTATGCTTCTAGTTATGGTTTGGCTACTTTTCATTTTAGTTGTGCTTTGCTCCTTTTTAATTGGCCGTTTGCTATGGTTAGCTAGCATTTTGCTATATTTATCTTTTAGAAAGATGCATACATAAATACTACTGCAACATTTAGATTTTAACTGGCATTTTGCTACTTGTAGCAGGTTTTAGCTCGTCAAAAAATGCTTGAAAGCAAAAAACAAAAAAAACTGTTCTGTGCATCAAGTAAAAATATCAATAAATATTCTTTATAATTGCAATAATGTATTTTACCAACTTTTATTAAATAGTTTTATCAGAAATTGAATGTAAAACTTAAAAAGCTGAAGTTGCACAGATTTATTAGCTGCTTGATAAAAATGTTTATATTGTTGTAAGGTGTTGTTTATGGTTTTATAAGAATGTTCTAATGAAATAAAAGTGGAATTTAATCMTTTATATTTCTGACTGGTTTTCCTGCAGCTGGTTGGACCTGGAACCTGAGGAGCCTGGTCCAGAGAGAGGGAGCGGTGCTGCAGACAGTGGGACTGTCCACAGATGTCCGTCCAGTCGTTCATGTCTTGGACACCAGACGTTAACAGTAAGGAGACGTGGGAGGAACCGGGCTCACTTCTGAGATTTAAAACCCAAAATGTGTCCATGTCCATGTTGGACATCTTGTCTCTGGTCCTGGACGTGGGCCTCTTTCAAACAACCGGTTAAAGAAAAATTTAGAGTTGGTTCATTTTTGTTTTTAACATCGGTCCAAATAAAGGTGTAGAAACAGCAGGAGTGTAAAAAGGCGGGGTGTGTGTGTGTGTGTGTGTGGGGGGGGGGGTTACGATCCAAAACACAACCTGAGATATGAACGGACCCCCTCTCACCGAACACTGTCTAATCCTGCCTCTGCTGCCCCACGCCAGCTGTCTGCAGCCCCTTCCAGCTGTCTCCTTAATGATATAGCTAATGAGACATTTCAGGGGTCTCTCACACACTCACACACACACACACACACACACACACACACAAAGAGCTAACTGAAGAGGAGAGCTGAGCAGTGTT